ATGTGTATATATATATATATAGGCTTATATACATGGATAATGATACTTGAAATGTAGAACCTAAGTTATTCTCACAATATACTGACATTTTTTACTTACCTTTATTTCTCCTTTCGTCTTTCCTGTTGAACACTAATCCAGGCACAGGTAAGAACTCTTAAACCTCATGGTTCACTTCACTAATCTTTACAAGGTAATGACACCTTTTATTAACGCTTTCGTGCTTTTTAGAGAGGTAAAATGTACAGGCTGACTGAAAATGGTTGAGTGGAGATTGCATTGAACTAATTTGCAGTTTCTCCAATGCCAGAGATTAGCATGAAAGCCATCAAAGGATTAGGAATAAGAATGTTTCCCTTCGATTTTGCCTTTCCTCCCAAGTTGCAGGGTAGTGTTTTACCCTGTCATATTTAGTGCTATAATACAACACTCAAATGTGACTATGATCATGTAAGGCAGTAATTGCATAAAGCTGACTCCAACCAACAGCATGTATTTTTTAAATCATGTTTGGTTCAGGTCCGCATTACTTATTTTATTTGGGGTTTTAGTCTATTAAGTTTGGCACAAAAGGATGGTCCCAAAGGGCTATTTAAGCCTACATTTTCTGAAATAATTACATAAAACTTTCATATGATATAGTTTGTGTGTGTGTGTGTGTGTATGTGTGTGCATATGTAAAAAATAGAATTGGACTGGCATAGATTATGAAAATATTTGAAAAGATTTTTCTTGAACAGTTGAGTCGGCTCTGTTTCAGTGCATTGTGGGCTATTTATTACCTTTATTTACTCATTCTTCCCATTGAGTTAAGAGCATAATCAGTTCAAAGTTCTGAAATTCCTGAAACGAAGGACCACATCCCAAACATGAAGCCAAAAGCCATTATAAACACCAGAGCACACAGACAATTTACTTTGATTCCTGTGGCCCTAACTACTTTTTCTGTGACTGTAAAATGAGACCAATTTCAAGGCTTGTTTTCTATCCCGAAATGGTTAAGAATTACTTTTAACTTCATTTTATATTACTGATCTTTTAATTTAGTTTCCTATATGAAATATAAAAAATGCAAATTCTCAATATCATATATATTATCTGGAAAATAGGCCAAATTCTATTTATTTGTAAAACAGCTTTAGCTATATATTCATTTTTTCACCCATTCATATGTTCCTTTATTTATTGGACAAAATTCTATTACATGCCTAATTTTATGAGCACACTGGGCTAAGTATTGAAGGCACATGACACTGAACAAAGCAGATGTCCAGAGAATTATATAATGGTGTGATCAGCAAGATCAGTACTGGAAACTATGTAATCTATCCAGTGTGGCAGGTGGGTCAGGTTTACACCTGCATAGCATAGCAACAGAATAAGTACAGTACAGCAAGCCCTGCCCTTAACTGCTAGAATTCTCAAGAGAGTTCTCTCTACTCCTGTTTTAAACTGTGTAATAAACCATGAAGGAGAACGATGAAAGTAGCTTAACAATGAAATCATACTCGTTACAGTGAGGGAAGCTTCCCACTCACTCTCGAATTCCTTCAGATCACTGAGAACCATGTGTTTCAGGTGTATGAGGTGGTCCCCTGCCACAGTGATTGCAACCAGTACATATGGGTGACAGAGCCGTGGAGCATCTGCAAAGTGACCTTTGTGAATATGCGGGATAACTGTGGAGAGGGCGTGCAAACCCGGAAAGTGAGGTAAGGCCAAGCCAGATTACACAGAGAAGCAAGATGCACAACCATCTCCCCCCCCAAGCTCTTGTGTACCAACTTAGTGTTCACTCCTCCCTAGTCTCCTGAATAAATTGTCTCTAGAGATGTCTTTGACAACTCTGTACTCATAGAAAACTAACGTGATCTGCTTCAAGCCACATTTTATGATTAGACCTTGAGATTTGGGAAGGTTTACATCAAAATATCTTGAAGGAAAGGAGTGGCATGTTGAAAGAAACCTTAACTTGTGTAGATGTTCAACCCCAATAACTTTTTTCTTAAAGGTCAACTCTATTTCTAAGTGCATTTTTTAAACATAATCTGTTTGGACTCTTTCTATAAAACTGGCCAACTTTCGATCACTCTCACCTTGTCTTCACAGCCTTCTCTGAAACCCCCAACTGGTTATTGCCTCCCACTTGTCCTGTAACTGTACTGTCCAATAGGCCAATAGCCACATGTGGCTTTTGCAATTTAAATTTCAACAAGTTAAAATTTAAAAAAAATTTAATGTTTTTACTCGGTCACATTAGCCATATTTCAGCTGCTCAGAAGCCACATGTGGCTAGCTATTATGTTGGACAATACAGATAAAGAATATTCCCCAGCATTCTGGAAAGGCCCATGGGGCAGTGTTGCTCCCTCATTCATATGTCCCTCAATGTGTTGAAAATTCCATTTACCTATCTCTCACCTTTGGGACACTCTGTAAGTTTCATGAGAATTCCCAAAATCCAAAACAACTTTGATACTCATTACATTTTTCTTACACCATCCGTCCTATGTTCCTTAAGGGTTCTGGAACCTTGTGAAACAAATGCGTGAGGTTCTGTCAGCTCCATTTTACTGATTTGATTCTGAAGTACTAAGTAATATACCAAGAACACTCATCTTAATAAAGTGAAGAATTAGAATTCAAACCCATTTCCTATCACTCTTTGCAACTATGCTGGTGTCTCCTAATACTGCTCAATGGCATACAGTAAAGACTGACATGAAAACATTCAGAATTTATTCGGTCATGTTATGAAGTTCTTACCCATAACCTAACTTTTCATGAATTTAAGATTGATATTTCTTTCTTATTTAATTTTTTAGAGATTTCTGCCTTAGAGTACATGTACTCATGGTGGGTGAGGGGGAGAGACACAAACAATGAGACAAAAAGGAAGAAATCACCCCCCCGGGGGGGAATGGCCATGCCTCAATCCCTTCTCCTCCATTCTTCCCCTGGGATCTTGGGTACACATGCACACACATGCAGCATGAGTTTCAAGTCATTGTGTCTGGGACTTGAACCATGGTCAGCCAGGTGAAAGTACAGTAATGTAAATGTTATGCCAACTGCTGGCCCCAAGATATTTCTTAATTTGCTTCAGTAAGACTAGAGCAAGGTAACATTTATATCATAAAGTCTTTGCCTATAAATGTATATATAGCTTTCCTTTTAATAAGAAAAAATTTTATTTTTCATTTTTCAGAAGCCCACTTGAGCTCTCAGTTTATTTTTCTCTTAGAAATGTAATAAAGGTGAACCAGGGATGGGGACTGGGTGGAGAAGTAATTAGTACATAAAGAAAGAGAAGAAAAATACAGGTATTCCACCTAGCATTCTCATTTCAAATTATTAAAATATTTTTCTTATATTAAAAATTGGGGGCCAGACCCATAGTCTAGTGGTTGTGGGAACTAGATCCATTCCCCGTGTCTGAGCATAGTTCAAATCCCAGCTCAGGTGGATTGAAATACATCGTGTCCATTTGGGAACATAGGGTGGAGAAGTGGAGAAGGGATTGCAACATGATCACATCCCATTGTCCAGTGTGGCAGGTGGGTCAGGTTTACACCTGCATAGCATAGCAACAGAATAAGTACAGTACAGCAAGCCCTGCCCTTAACTGCTAGAATTCTCAAGAGAGTTCTCTCTACTCCTGTTTTAAACTGTGTAATAAACCATGAAGGAGAACGATGAAAGTAGCTTAACAATGAAATCATACTCGTTACAGTGAGGGAAGCTTCCCACTCACTCTCGAATTCCTTCAGATCACTGAGAACCATGTGTTTCAGGTGTATGAGGTGGTCCCCTGCCACAGTGATTGCAACCAGTACATATGGGTGACAGAGCCGTGGAGCATCTGCAAAGTGACCTTTGTGAATATGCGGGATAACTGTGGAGAGGGCGTGCAAACCCGGAAAGTGAGGTAAGGCCAAGCCAGATTACACAGAGAAGCAAGATGCACAACCATCTCCCCCCCCCAAGCTCTTGTGTACCAACTTAGTGTTCACTCCTCCCTAGTCTCCTGAATAAATTGTCTCTAGAGATGTCTTTGACAACTCTGTACTCATAGAAAACTAACGTGATCTGCTTCAAGCCACATTTTATGATTAGACCTTGAGATTTGGGAAGGTTTACATCAAAATATCTTGAAGGAAAGGAGTGGCATGTTGAAAGAAACCTTAACTTGTGTAGATGTTCAACCCCAATAACTTTTTTCTTAAAGGTCAACTCTATTTCTAAGTGCATTTTTTAAACATAATCTGTTTGGACTCTTTCTATAAAACTGGCCAACTTTCGATCACTCTCACCTTGTCTTCACAGCCTTCTCTGAAACCCCCAACTGGTTATTGCCTCCCACTTGTCCTGTAACTGTACTGTCCAATAGGCCAATAGCCACATGTGGCTTTTGCAATTTAAATTTCAACAAGTTAAAATTTAAAAAAAATTTAATGTTTTTACTCGGTCACATTAGCCATATTTCAGCTGCTCAGAAGCCACATGTGGCTAGCTATTATGTTGGACAATACAGATAAAGAATATTCCCCAGCATTCTGGAAAGGCCCATGGGGCAGTGTTGCTCCCTCATTCATATGTCCCTCAATGTGTTGAAAATTCCATTTACCTATCTCTCACCTTTGGGACACTCTGTAAGTTTCATGAGAATTCCCAAAATCCAAAACAACTTTGATACTCATTACATTTTTCTTACACCATCCGTCCTATGTTCCTTAAGGGTTCTGGAACCTTGTGAAACAAATGCGTGAGGTTCTGTCAGCTCCATTTTACTGATTTGATTCTGAAGTACTAAGTAATATACCAAGAACACTCATCTTAATAAAGTGAAGAATTAGAATTCAAACCCATTTCCTATCACTCTTTGCAACTATGCTGGTGTCTCCTAATACTGCTCAATGGCATACAGTAAAGACTGACATGAAAACATTCAGAATTTATTCGGTCATGTTATGAAGTTCTTACCCATAACCTAACTTTTCATGAATTTAAGATTGATATTTCTTTCTTATTTAATTTTTTAGAGATTTCTGCCTTAGAGTACATGTACTCATGGTGGGTGAGGGGGAGAGACACAAACAATGAGACAAAAAGGAAGAAATCACCCCCCCGGGGGGGAATGGCCATGCCTCAATCCCTTCTCCTCCATTCTTCCCCTGGGATCTTGGGTACACATGCACACACATGCAGCATGAGTTTCAAGTCATTGTGTCTGGGACTTGAACCATGGTCAGCCAGGTGAAAGTACAGTAATGTAAATGTTATGCCAACTGCTGGCCCCAAGATATTTCTTAATTTGCTTCAGTAAGACTAGAGCAAGGTAACATTTATATCATAAAGTCTTTGCCTATAAATGTATATATAGCTTTCCTTTTAATAAGAAAAAATTTTATTTTTCATTTTTCAGAAGCCCACTTGAGCTCTCAGTTTATTTTTCTCTTAGAAATGTAATAAAGGTGAACCAGGGATGGGGACTGGGTGGAGAAGTAATTAGTACATAAAGAAAGAGAAGAAAAATACAGGTATTCCACCTAGCATTCTCATTTCAAATTATTAAAATATTTTTCTTATATTAAAAATTGGGGGCCAGACCCATAGTCTAGTGGTTGTGGGAACTAGATCCATTCCCCGTGTCTGAGCATAGTTCAAATCCCAGCTCAGGTGGATTGAAATACATCGTGTCCATTTGGGAACATAGGGTGGAGAAGTGGAGAAGGGATTGCAACATGATCACATCCCATTGGCAGGTGTTTTTTAATTACCCTCTGGCAATTAAAAACAAAAAGAGAATTTGATGAGGTTGGTTGGTTGCTTTGCTAGAAAAAAAAAAACATTATAATGGAAAAACTGTTTGTTCACTTTCTCCTTTAACTGTCTTTATACATGTTACTTTTTTTGCTTTGAAAATAGTCCCTATATTTCTAAATAAAGTAACTTTTCAGATCAATCTATTTTTTTCACTAAACAACTCTAATGCAAATAGAGAAAAGAGAGGGTGAATATTGATTGTGATCTCTGCTCATGTAATAATGTTCCTATTTGTTACTGATTGAGTAGTGTATCACCCTAACCTTATCCTCTGCTAATTAAGGTCGAAATAGCTTATTTAAAAGCAAATACTGGATGACACTTCAGGATAGATGAGTCTATAAGAAAGCCATTTTAAATTTATCCAATTTCATTCTTCCTCATTTAGAATGATATTGAGTGAGTGAGAGAAATAGATTCATAGAATTTGGTATTTTCACACTGACATTTTTAGAATTGTCAGCACATGGTAAATGTAAGTAAATAAATAAATAAAACAGATTTAGTTACTTTTATTGCTGCTTTGCATTCTCTGCCGACAATGTGCCTTTTATTGCCTCACATGTGATGGGTCTCTGGACTAATTTTCAGCTTCAACTTGGTTTTCTACACTACAAATTTCTAACACAGTTCAACTTTTCTCATGGTATAATTCTGTTCCTTGAAAAGGAAAAAGGCTTTCGTTTACACTCAAAACATGATCCAAATATTTATTCTATACTCTAGAGTGATTACAAAACCTGTTCATACAAAATAAATAAAACCTGTATGTAGTCTGAATGCCAACAAGAGGGTTTTTTTCAAGAGTGCCACATTCAAGCAGTGAAATTCAAATGTAGTCATAAAAAATGTGTATTAAAAAATAATTAGCAAACGTAAGATGTCCAAAATGTATTAATGCTTTTTTTCTTAAGTGGCACAAATAGTAGATTAAGTTTGCTTCTATTTTATAAAATAAAAATATATATTAAATTAATAGTCTGTTCAAAAGTAAGTCAATAAATATAGTTGGTTAAGAGTGGTTGTCTCTGAATGATGAAATTATAGGTACTCTTATTTCTTTTTATTTTCTAAAAATGAATATATTATATTACCTGCAAAAATACAAAATTAATGGAAGTAAAGAACTCTTGAAAAATGAAATTTTATGTGTATAACTTCTTAATAAAATTTCGGACATCTGTTCTGAACTCTGAATCAATAGGCGATTTTACGAGTTAATCATTGTACATTGTGTGAGTCCTGCCATGAGTATAATCTTTTCCTAATAGCATATTCAACTTTTGAATTTTGAAATGCTCTGTCTCTCCCATGTCTTCCCTAAGCTATCAACAAAACATTTTTAAGATGCTATAAGGTAGAACTTTTTCATGAAAAAATAAAATTCAGAGATTTATAATTTGATTCTTTCTTTCAACAATGAAATCACCTAAATAGCTACCTTCATAAGTTTTTGTAATTGCTTTTTATGAATTTATCTAATATGGTAAAAATATAGAGGTAGGTATTTATATGGATATTTTTCAGACTACAAACCCAATTAAGTCATGACCAAGGCATGGTTTTCCATCTTTGAATGTATCCCACACAAAAAGGATATTTGGCAGCATTTTTCAGTAAGATAATACTACAGGGTATATTTGTGAAGATTCAATGTCCCTACCAATCATAAATCTCTGAGAAAACTTGGGATTCCAGGAAAAATTGGCAAGGTAATTCAACTGACATTTTAAAACATTGCAATGGGCTTGTGAAGTTTAGGAGATCAAGCCTTCCTTTGCATCTCCTGCAATGCAGTTCTTCTCCTAAACCATTAATTTGCTTGATCTTCTCCAAGTTATAGATGGGGTACAAAGTTTTTCTTATCTACTATTAAAGTCCCTGGATGGAGATTATTAACTAGAGTAAAATTGAAGTCTGGTACTAGCCACATGAATTAGGTTCTCAAGAGATGATAAAGAACCCTCATAACTGCTTATAATAGAATAAAGTGAACTACAAGGTTTAAATATGTTCTGTTAAAAAGAAAACTAATTGGGACCAGCAGTTAACATAATGGCTATGTCGTTGGATTCCCATGCAGTTGACCGCGGTTCGTGTCCTGGACCTGGTGGTTTAAAACTCACGCCGGGCACGTGCGCGTGCGCGTGCGTGCCCAAGATCCCAGGAGGAGAATGAAGGAGAAGGGATTGCAGCGTGGCCATCCCCCCTGGGGGATGATTTCTCACTTTCTGTCTCTCTCTGTCTGGCGAACGCACGCACCCTATAGCAAAAAGCCTCTCCAAAAAAAAAAAAAAAAAGAAAGAAAGAAAAAAAGAAAAGAAAACTAACAATAAAAAGACAGGTTAAAATATAGGAAGATCCAAATTACCACAATGAGACAATTTTTGCTATTATCATTATAATTATCTTTTCACTTTTGACTTTCTTTTAAATTTAGCAGTAGATGGGATGCTAAGATGACTTTAAAATAATAAATGACTAAAAACACTACAAAAACACTTAATAAGCCTCTCATTTAGAGATTTCAGTGTACCTAATTATTCATTGTGTATGAATCAACTCCACCTTCTCTATGGAATCCACCATTTTTCTTGAGAAGAAAAAAAAATGCATTATATGCAAAATACAACCTCTGTATAAATCTCTTCTGACCACAAGTTTCTGTCGCATATATGAATGTAAATGACACTCTGCTTTCAGGAAAGCTGATATGACACACGTTTTATAAATTATGATCATACATGCAACTATGTCCTTTTCAATCATGCAGAAGCACTACAAATATCTGGGGAGGCAAGGATACTTTTAAGTCTTTATTTTGGGAGAATTTTATTCATTAGTCACAAAGCTTTCTGCCTCCAACCCTGGCTCTCCAAACCCATGATGATATCTTAAGGAGAACCAACTGTCTTTTGGGTGGACCATCATTCTAAATGTGGTTCTTTCACTTCTAGAAGATACATATGTTCTCTAGAAGATATCTATGTTCTCTTCTAGATGTATGCAGAATACAGCAGATGGCCCCTCTGAACATGTTGAGGATTATCTCTGTGACCCAGAAGAGATGCCCCTGGGCTCTAGAGAATGCAAATTACCATGCCCTGAAGACTGTGTGATAACCGAATGGGGTCCTTGGACTCCATGTGCTTTGGTGAGATGATTAACCATTTTATTAATATAGTATTTGTCTGACTCCTTACCACTAAAGCTTTAAAGTTATGACTGAGGAAATGTAGTAACTTCGTTAATTGTGTGCTGTATTTACCAAAGCAAGGTGGATTTTCTTGGCTACTTCCTTCAATGACTGGGCCATCTAAAGTCAGTAGTATTTCCTCACGCTTGAACAGCTCAACCTTTGTAAGCTTCATGTTCTTCTCAATCCTTCCTCTTAACCCAGCACAAAATGCCTTCCCACAGTTTGCCTTATAAATATACAGCATGCTAAAAACCTCAGTGGTGATAATGATTCCCTCTAGGTGAAAGGGAAAAGGAATGAAGCTCTAGTAAAGGCACTTGAATGGTGTCAGGCTATTTTCATCCATTGCTTTGTGACGAAATCATTTTATTTAAATGGTAGGAATCATCTTTCACTCAGTGGGGAGTATTGCACTAGGAATATTAACACTAAAATGTAAATGGTCCCGGGTAGGAGAATGAGGAGAAAGAAGAAAGCTGTGCAACAACGGATCTCTTTCCACACACTGCTATCTCTTTGGACCTGGATAGCCGGCTGAGAGTTTGAAATCACACAAAGCTTTCAGAGTTCGACAGCCAGTAGGGGCTCTTCCACAGAACTCTGGGAAGAGACTCATTTGAACAGAACTGGCTGCACAGGGAGGAAATTTGGCTTTACCCTTGGGTACCTTTGTAAAGCTGTACACTTTAAAAACGGCATTAAAAGTATGAAAAAATACATCTAATGTGGAATTAATTTGTTGAAATACAATACTGGGCCATTTCAAAGAAGAGCTTACGGTGCAGGTTTTCCAAGGAGAAATTGATTTTCCATCCCAGTGTTAACATTATTAAAGATGCTGATTGGCAACCAACTGATACAACAAAAGCAACACAGGGCTGTCAGTTGACTTGAATACAGGTTAAATTATAATAAAGAATTAACTCTTTCACAACAGTATGCAAATGATGCTTTATTCTAATTTCACAGCATCAGATTCAAAGTTACCTCAAATAGTTGTGCTACAGGGACCAGCAGTTAGCGTAATGACTATGTCGCTGGACTCCCGTGTAGTCGACCGCAGTTTGCATCCTGGACCCAGTGGCTTAAAATTCATGCCAGGCGTGTATGCATGTGTGCCCAAGATCCCGAGAGGAGAATGGAGGAGAAGGGATTGCAGTGTGGCTATCCCCCCTGGAGAGTGATTTCTTGCTTTCTGTCTCTCTGTCTCTCTCTGCCTATCTGGCAAGCGCACATGCCCTATAGCAAAAACCGCTCCAATAAATAAATAAATAAATAAATAGTTGCACTACATTCTAGTGTCTATGCTTACAGTTTTGAGGTTCTTATTGTCACAGATTGTGTTGCAAAGAGTATTTCTTTTTGTAAAGTAAGGAACTTTAAACATCATCTCCATTTGATGGGGATTCTAATAATAAGAGTACTAATCTGGAACGTTGTTCATTTGGTTTCTTTTTTAAATGACAAAGGACAATCACTCATTCAGCCTTGACCAGGTATAAAAGAGAGTTCATGAAACAACTCTGTGATCCTGAAAGTTTGCCAGGAGACATGCTTAGGATGAGAATAAAGTTCAGCTAGTGAAGTACTATGCATGTTGAGCTTTATATTTTACCTTTAATTCATCTTGTGACCTCACTCAGGCCTTCATTAAACAAACCCTAATCAGCATTTACTGTCTTCCAGGAACTGTTAGGAGCAAGAACACAGATATATAAAACATATTATTCATATAATTCTCTCAGCACACTCACTCTGTAGGGAGGGAGAAGACCTTTACATAACTCACATTATATGAGGACAATGTGTGTTATTCCAGTGATGAGACCAAAGTACATCAGGAGCAGAGGAGGAGAAAGCAATTATTTTAGGCCTAAAAAAGCTCGTCCCTGGCTACTTTCTGTTCTTAGAAACCAAATGTTCTCAGGAGAATGAACCAGTAGGAGAATGGCAAGCCAATCTTTTTAGATGCTAAATTGTGTTTGTGTGCATGTGTGTATACTCATTAGGAAAACATGAGTCCATAACACCTAGAGGATTCAAGTTGCCCTTTAATAGGTTTTCAGGTCCAAGAAACTATTATATTCTATGTGTGCATCTGTAAGCATGGACATATGCGTTTGCATAGGTGTGAGGGGATATGTGTATTAGGACTTGATACATAGCATAGCACCTGATGCTTCTTTTAATTATTAATGAATGGAGTATATGAATCTCACTGAAAACCTCGTTTTATACATGGAAAAACTGAGGCATAATGGAGTTAAGTAATTTATTCAAGTTAGCCAGTGACCCAGGTGTTCTAATTTCTGCACCAGTGTTCTCCCCAATATATAGCTTTTGTGTGGCTGAAAATTCACCTTTCTGAGGCATTATGTTGTTCTTTGTAAGCCTTGCAATCAAAGCAATTTCCGGCAAAGGTCAGCTGATCCCATCAGACAACCTGCTGATGAAGGAAGATCCTGCCCTGATACTGTTGAGAAGGAACCCTGTAACCTGAATAAAAACTGCTACCACTATGATTATAATGTAACAGGTATGTGATCACAGAGTTAAATCCCATGCCTGTTGGCTCTGAAACATTCCTGTCAGCATAGTTCATCTCTGTGTGACTGTTGAACATGCTATTTACTCTTCTGGAACTACTTATTAAATTATAAAAATATTTATCTTTTTTATTTATTAGAAAACATCAAGATATAAAGAATAAAAACATCACACAGACATTAGCTTTTAAAGTAGGTTCTAAATATTCCAAGTGATATTATTTAAGGCATCCTTCCACTTTGGGAAGATAAAAATAAAAATAGTTTTACCCCAGTAATTATATTTACTGAAAGATGTCTTACTTTTTCAGGATATATTTAAGCACCATAACATATTGGGATGAAAATTATTTAGATGTATGGGCAGTTCATAAGCTTGATTAGTTTGATAAAAATGTCATCAATCTTAAACTTGTCAAAACTGAAACAACGATATTATAAAAGGTGTAGTTAGAGGAAGCTGGTAGGTGATGTGGTAGTTAAGGGCTCTGGACATCCACATGACTGACCATGGTTCGAGTCCTGGATCTGGTACCTTGCTTTTTCACTTTCTCTCTCTCTCTTTCACTCTCACTCTGGTTCTTGCTCTTGCTCTGTCCCTATCTGGTCACGATAAAATAAATAAATGAAGTTAAATAAAATAATTCTTTTTAAGAAAGGTATAGATAGAGAAAAATGAATGATTATTTTTTCAGGAAAACAGGCTTCATTGTTCCCTACAACTTTACTTAATATAATTAATATACATCCTCTAGGAAAAAATATGTATTTCATTGGTTCATATGACATGGGACAACATCAAAGTCTATTTTGGAATTTTTCTCAAGTAATTTTAATGCTAAAACAAGTTTAGGAATTTGTATAATGACATTTTACAGTCATATTGGCTTTTTGTTTCTCTTGGTTTTTCTCTTCCGTTTACTTTGATGATGAAAATAAATCAAAGTTCTCTGGGACATGCTATATTATCCTGGAGTAAAAGGTGAAAAAATCAGGGGCCAGAAGGTGGCATGGTGGTGAGGGTGTTGGTCTTTCATATGGTTGACCATGGTTCAAGTCCCAGACCCAGCAGCTGGAGGAACATATGTACATGCGTGCCCAAAATTCTAAGAGGAGAATGGAAGAGAAAGAATTGTGTTATGGCCATCCCCCTAGGGGGTGATTTCTCACTTTTTCTCTCTCTCTCTGTCTTTCTCCAGCAAGTGCACATGCCCTATGGCAAAAACTAAAAAAAGATGAAAGAATTATTTTGCAGAGCCAGCAGATGGTGTAGTGGTTCTGTCCCTGGACTCCTACATGGCCGACAGTGGTTCAAGTCTGAGACCCAGTGGCCTGAAAATGATGCTGGTGGCATGTGTGTACGTGTCCAAGATCCCAGGAGGAGAAGGGCAGAGAAGGAATGGCAGTGTTGCCATACCCCCAGGGGGGTGATTTCTCACTTTGCCTTTTACTGTCTCTGTCTCTCTTTCTCTGGGACATGCTATGTTATCCTGGAGTTAAATATGAAAGAATTAAGGGCTGACAGATGGCGTGGTGGTTGGGGCACTGGACTTCCATATGATTGACCACAGTTTGAGTCCCAGACCCAGCTTTGGTGGATCACACTGGTCACAGAGTACATACACCCATACACCGTAAGACAAAAACGTCTTAAAATAAAAAAGAATTACTTTGCAAAAGACATAAAATAATAAGAAAATTAAGTAAGTATGGTTAAAGTGTTTTGGAAATAAGTATGTTTTTGAAGCATTCAGAATATAGGAAATTAGTAAAATAAGGAGTTTTATTTAAATATAATGATACAAAATATCATTCATTAAAAGTATGATTACTTTGGTATGAGAAAAATAAAGCTGAAATTTTTAATTCCACTTTTATTAAGAAGAAATATTAAATGACATCAATCTGTAAGCCAAAGCTGTTTTTACAATGTCACCAAACGGCTAGCTATCAAGATTGTCAAGTAGACATCTGCCTTCGAGAATAATCCCTGTAGTTATGTGCAACCCCAGCAATTCCATTTGACTTCTGATTTGTTCAAAGATGGACCCATATGCTCTGCATGTGGGATGATTGATCGTGAGGCTTAGGGAGCAATTGTGAATTAAATATGGGATTCAGGTCATCAGAGTTTCATTTGAAATCTGTTTCATATGTAGCCTTCTGTCCTGATGGGCTCCCTTCCTTGCAGACTGGAGTACATGTCAGCTGAGTGAGAAGGCAGTTTGTGGAAATGGCATTAAAACAAGGATGCTGGATTGTGTTCGAAGTGATGGCAAGTCAGTTGACCTGAAATACTGTGAGGAGGTGGGTAAATGCTGTGTTATATCTTTGTGGGTAAATTCTTCTCTAATAATTTCCATTCATGCTGAGCCAGGTGACCTGTGCTCCATGGAGCTCATTGCCAGCAGATGTTTTTCTGCTGTTTGCAGGCTGTTAAATACACTCTTGAAAAGAAATAGTGTCCAAGCTACTTATATAATTTCCTGTATTTGTTCTATGTAGAATCCAAAGTTATGCTAATTAGCTTATTCTGAAAGAATCACTTGGGGAACAATGAATAATCAAGGTGAATAAAGGCAATAAATCTTAATCAGACAACTCATCATCTTTTGTAATTTGACATGATTTTTGTGTAGTGCCTGGGACACCTGCCAAGGTCCACCATTTATTCTCTCTGTTGCTAAACATTGATCGAAACTGGTTAAGTAACACATTTTGATATTAAGATCTAGTACCCAGCTGTGACAAAGTCTAAGTATTCAGATCTGAATAAGAGAGAGCTTGAAATTCAAACAGAAGAATAGAGCCTGCTATTATCATCTTATAGTTACAGAGAACTGTAACTGGTAATTCTCTAATTGATAAAAGTAATGTCATCATTTCTAGAAATGACCTTTAGAAATGTGAGGAAACATAGCTGTTGACCTTTCTTAGTTTTCATGAAGCTTCATGTTATAATCCATTTTTTTAATCTGATTTCCATTCCAAGAAAGTACTTACATTTCTGACAAGTTCAGACACCCGGTGCATCTGAAGTCCACTGGGTCAAACACAAACCAAGATAAGCAGGAGATGCCAGAGATCTAGAATAGATGCAGAGGAGTTTGTAACCTCATCCGAGTTCAGTAGACATGGTCACCATGACTTCGGTCCACACATCCTGAGGGCTATTATAAGCTCACAGTAAATTGTTCTAACTTCTAAGGGAAAAACTCTAGATGGAAACATTTTAACCCATTTAATATCTTCATCATGTAGACCTAACTTATTTAACCCATTTAATATCTTCATCATGTAGAAATAAATTTCATTCCATCTCTATCCATGGAAGCAGAACCTCCAGATGTGCTGAAAATACCGCCTTTTTTAGTTAGTAAAAGCCTCCTGCTATAATCTCATAGCATAACCTAGTCTATTCATACCTTAGATTTAAATAATTAGAAATTTCACACCAGAGCCATTTTGGTTTTGAAACTAATAACGTTGAAGTGATATAGCTATTATAAAGATAGCATCATCATCAATGAAGATTATTATAGTCATATACTCACTGAAGAGCATTCCGTGGCCTACTCTTAGTTGATAAATATGTTTTTTTTTTGTTTTTGTACAAATGCATACATAAATGTTCTTGTGGGTTGGACTGAAATATAAAATGAAAAACTCTGAGAGTTTTTTGAAAGCTGAACCCACATCATATGTGAACATTTTGAAGCTATTTCATATAAAGGACAAAAGCATAAATAAGGCCCTTGATCTCTTAGATTAAAAAGTAAGAAATTGAAAAGTAACTAATTATAATTAGCTGGGAACCTAGATAAGCTTACTCTATGGGCAAAAGTTATACTATTTGAATACTACAATGAAGCTCAGAGATTCAAATCCTAACTTTTTAGCAAAAACTCTTTGGGGAGAAAGATGCTACTTTCTGTGATAATTGGATTAGATAGCTCATATCCTGTTTTATCCATCAGGATTAAACAGTAGGATTAAACAATAGCTCTAAGAAAAACTGGGCTATATTTTTAAACAGTGAACGATTGCCTACCTGCAATGTCCGTGCAAACCCTGCATTCAGTGCAACAGCAGTAGGTACCTCTCGCTGCTTTTCTATCAACCACAAAGGAAGCTGGCATTACTACCCAACAAAGAGGGAAATTAGAGTTAAAGCCACCTAGCACTTTTGTAGTACTTTTATCTTTGGGGTTTTTCAGACATTTATGTACCCAATACCTAGTTAATGGTTTCTCCTTTTCTATTCGTTGATTCCTGAAGATATTTATTTTAATTTACTTAGGCACATCCATTGAGTGAGATGAGAAAGAGAGAGACAAAAATTAAAAGAGAGGTATAGTAAATGTAAGGGAAAAAATAAAACATAGGTGTAATTATGGCTTCCCAGAGTGTCTGTAAACACAGCCTCTTTAACTCTCCAGGGAAATAAGTAAGTCAGCAAAAGTCGAATTCTGTGATTCAAACCCTCTTTCCTTGAGTCTATTATTTTCCTTATATAACACATTATTTTCATCATACCACCTCAGGATTTCTATCTCCAACCTTCCATGACTTTTGAGACAATTTATGAGGTTTTAATTAAGTGATATGGTAAAATTTTTATACCTTTCAACTCTAAGAAATACATTTTACTGGTGTAGAATCTAATGGGAGCACCTGCAGAGGCATGTAACAGACAAAGCATTGATCTGATCCTCCCTCAGTGGATAACTTAGCGCTAAGAGCAATGCTTAAACACAACATAATGTTTCTGAGAATTTTTCTTTTGTCCTTTTCTCCTGCTCCATAAATTAGAAAATATAAACTACTGCCATGAGGAAATAAAAAAAGGTCTTGAAAATTCCAAGAACTGGCAATAAAAAATACGTATTCTTATAACAAGCTCTTAAATATTCCTCTTTTTTTAAAAATTTTTGCTGGAGAGTACGTGCACTCTCCTGGAATCGGCTTTATGGTTTTGACAATTTCAGTATTTGTCCTTAGAATAAACAGATTTTTTTTTTATTCTCTTATGTAGCTTGCTTGTTCTCCCTTATTTTATTCTATTCTTTTTTCTTTTCTATTCCTCTGTCTTCTTTCTTGTCTCCTCCCTGCTTTGACAATGTATCTTGGTCATGTTTCCCTGTTATTCTTTCAGCTTGGTCTGGAAAAGAACTGGCAGATGAATACATCCTGCGTGGTGGAATGCCCTGTGAACTGTCAGCTTTCTGACTGGTCTCCTTGGTCAGAATGTTCTCAAACATGTGGTCTCACAGGTTTGTACCATAATTAGCATTAAGCTAATAGTCAAGGAATATGAGATAAAATGTCCCTCTTGCTTTAAGCCCTATCAGATAATATTCAGAAAAGTTCAATTGGGTGTCTTTCTATCCAAAATATCTGAGCCATACTTGTTTCTGGAATCACCTCAGAAGACATATCTATCATTCCTTCCCCCAATAAGATAGATGTTTCCACATCTGTAGCATCACTTTATAATTGAAATTGCTTCATTTTGTATCCTTAAAGGAAAAATGATCCGAAGACGAACAGTGACCCAGCCCTTTCAGGGTGATGGAAGACCATGCCCTTCCCTGATGGACCAGTCTAAACCTTGCCCAGTGAAGCCCTGTTATCGGTGGCAATATGGCCAATGGTCTCCATGCCAAGTGCAGGTATCAAATCAAGTAGTATAGACTGTGTATTCTTTACCTGAAGTGACTTGGTTTCAGAAATAATGTTCAGAGCTTACAAATGGCAGGTTTCCTCATAAAGATTTTAGGTGCCTTGGCGTTTTATAACCATTTAATTTGTTTTGATAACAAACGCTCCCTGTCCTGTTCTTTTAAATAATTTGGAGACTGATTCATTTTAATGAAAATTTATTTGCCTGTCTTTAGATAAAAAATAAATTGTTCAGTGTATGTTTATAACCAGTGCCCTATAGGACTTCTTCCCTAGGGTTTCAAATGCTTCCACAACTATTCATAAATCAAAATTGATGGTGCAGAGATGACTATAAGTGATGAGCTCTCTAATGAATTGTTTTTCTTTTTCTAATTAGTTATATTTTCTTCCATTCCAGGAGGCCCAATGTGGAGAAGGGATGAGAACAAGAAACATTTCTTGTGTAGTGAGTGATGGATCGGCTGATGATTTCAGCAAAGTGGTAGATGAAGAATTCTGTGCTGACATTGAACCCATTATAGATGGTAATAAAAAAATGATTCTGGAGGAAACCTGCACCCAGCCCTGTCCAGGTATCAACAGCAAAATAGAATTTGTATTTGGCGATTTCTTCCTAGGGCCACAGTACAGAGGGATTTCAGGGGCCGGATGGTGGTGCAGCAGTAAAGCATAATACTTGGCAAGGTTGACCCACTTGGGAATATTCCAGCTTGTGTCCTGAATATGCCAGGCATGATTGCATCCATGATCCAGGGCTGGCTGGGGCTGGGAGTAAATTGTAATATCAGGTCTCTTAGTGTCTATCATTCATGAAAGAAAAAAAGAAATAAACTAAAAAACGAAGGTGAATTCCTGACTTGGCTCAGAAGCCTTGGGAGGCTTTATAAAGCTCTACTCTGAAGTTTCATATGAAAGGTTCCAGCAAAGCCAACATAATCAATTATTCTTCTTATTGGGATTTGTGCAAATAACAGATCAAATTGAGACTGAAATTTTTTTGCAAATAATTTAATTTATGCTTCTCTTTGGTAAAAGGGGGACTAGAGACAAAAAAAAAAATAAATGTTTCAGAGGAAATCTATAGTGTACTTGTTACTAGATTTTAGCTCTGTCCATGTCTATATTTTGAGTTTTTAGTATCTACCTACTGTTTGGACAGAATTCTAACCTGTTTCCTGATTTTAAGTCTGAGGCAAATTTTCTTAACTTTTTAAAGTTTTGATTCATTAAAGCTAAAACTGCTTTTCTTGACATTTAAAACAAATAATAATAATAATAGCAAACTAAAGACAGTGCAGGAGAAGGATAGGCAATGGGGTGGGGGAGGGAATCAAGGTGGTAAAAAAACATTTAACAGATACAAAAGTGGAAAACTTTCTGCTTATAATAATGCATATGATAATATCTGGACCAATATGCAGTGTATTGAAGGTAGAAAAATTAATTTTTTGTGCTGTAAAGATGTACAGTGCATAAATGGAAAAAGATTTTAAAAAGAGAAGGAATTGAATACATAGATAGATACATATGGGATATATATAAATGGAATATATATATCTATATATATTTATAGATATATATCTGTATTTATATATTCAATATAAATTAAGAAATGTCAGCAGACTTCTTATGCAGTAATATTTATGCCAACAGTTAGACCCTTATCTGTGGTAAAGAAGGATCGGGGGCACTGCTTCATAACTTCCAGGGAGAGGTGAATTCTCCCATGTGGCCTCTCTGGGCAGCTCTCTGAAGTTTTCATATCTGTAGAGAATGGTAGTTATGAGCTTATGCCTATGCACAACAGAAAAAATATGAAATTAAAGTTGAGAAAAGAGGGATTGAATATAATATCCATGGGATTTCTAGAAGGACAGAAGAGAGAATGAGTGAACTGTAATATTTAAACACATATGGCTAAAGAAATATTTAAGAAGTCCATATACTAAAAGTTTATTCTGGGTCTTGAGTAGTCAACAATAAGTCTGTAGGATATGTACTGTAGTCGAAACAAAAATGTTTAAAAAAATAGAGAATTAATAAAGCATTAAGAAATTTAAAAAATCAAATTACATACAGCTGGGAGTCAAGACAATATTATGGAAGAAAATATTAAATACTATTTTCAGTGTTGGATACAAGGAGTACATGCAGTAAAATACAGAAAGTTATGGTGTAGTTCTGATACTATAGAAATACTTGATATATAGTGATAAGCTAATACTTAGGAATTTGTTCTTGATGCAAAAAATTGAAATCCATTTCAGTAAGATATAGGAGCTACAGTTCATGAAGAAGACTACAAGTGAACCCATCTTTAACCCCCCCCCCAGTGGTATATTTTTATTCTTCAAATTTTCTTGTAATTATGGTAAGAAAAAATACATATCTGTTTAAGAAACATGTTTTTTTGAAGAAGAACTAAAAATTAAAAATAAGGACTTAGCCCCAAAATGGGCATAAAACATTTTCTGTCTAAAGGATATGATTTAAGAAAAATTTTAAAAGTGAATAAATTATCTATTTTCAAAAATTAAAAAACCTGGAATTGAACCTAAAAGTTTGAAAACTAAAGGATGAATTACTCATCTATTGATTCACTAACATTTATTATTTAATAAATGAATTATTTGAAATGACTATAGTAATAGTCTATAATTTTTTTATTAAAATAAATTGAATGAGAGGCTGGCAGATGGCATGGTGATTAAAAGCACTGGTCTTCCACATGGTGCAGTTCAAATCTCAGGACTGGAGGCTTGCTTTCTCACTTTCCCTTTCTCTTTCTCTCTGTCTCTCTCTTGTCAAATTACAAAATAATAATACATAAAACAAAATACTTTTAAAAATGTAAAAATAATTAGCTGAATAAAATTGAACTAGTCATAAATAAAATAACCTCTGATACTTTGAACTATATGCTAGTCTTTGATGATATTCATCTGTAGCAATGATTTTTGCACACCTTCTTCAGATTAAGAAATTAAGATTTTTTAAAAGACAAAAAATTTAAATAGCCACTGCTATTCAATGAGTATGACATTTCAGTTATGCAAGATGAATGAGTCCTAGAGATATGGTGTCCAACACTGAGCCTGTAGTTAACAATACCGTATTGTACATTAAAAATGTTTTTAAGTGATTAAGGATGGGACAGTGGTACTGAAATAAAAGGTGATACTCTGTAAAGCCAAGTCCAGAGGACTGAACCTTTGGACTTTGATATGTTGAATGGACATATAGTCATCAAAAAGTAAACAAGTCTAAAAGTTAGAAGGCACGCCTATTCTGAAAAGCAATGTCCAACATCAACAATGGAATCACTGTGACAACCACAACACTGAGCAGAATAGGCATCTTTGACTGGCAGCAGTGTATTCTTGACTTGGAATCTTCCCTTAGGTTTTCATTCTCCTTACTGCAGCACAGTCACCTTGTAACTGGCTTTTATTTCTCAAGTGTAATTATAGGCCAGGCACTGGACTTGACGTTGGAGGTACAGTGGGCGACCAACAGACCCCCTACTCACAGCTCTTACCTTCTAATAAAAGAGACATTTGTTGATCTAGCAGTGATATAAAGAGACATAAAATTATAGTTTGTGGTAAATGATGTGAAGGAAAACTACAGAATCTCATCACAACCTAAAATAGGACAAACATAATAATCAAAAGTAATTACAAATCCAGGAGGAGATTACTCTTTCCTTAAAAATTACACTCTATTCATTTTGGCTCCTCTCTTGCTAATTTTTGCTAATGATGGGTTTGAAAGCTAGCAATATGGCAACTAATAAGCATTAAAGAGTAGAATACTGAATGAGGAAGTGCGCTTTGTGTATTTAATTATCTTATATTGGGCAGGTATAGTGTAACTTTATTATCATTACAATGGTTTTCATGGTCAAAATACAAATGTATGTTTAGTATAGGAGAATGCCTCACTCTCTTTTTTTGTTATTAAATCTTTGAGGACTGACATGGATTATTTGGGGGTGATATTATATAACTCACAAATGGTCACTGAAAGATTTACTAGCTTCATTGCAAAATGCAATGAAGATAAGCACATAGTTAAAACCTACAACAAAAAGGTATTCTTTAGTCTCTGGTAGTTTGCAGCCATTACAATTTATACTACATTCATATCAATAGGAATTTTTTAATTTTAATTTTAGTAGTTTTTTCCTAGATAATTAAAAACCAGGAACCAGAAGTGTTATTTCCTAAAACATGAGAGTGTTTCTATAACTTTCTTAGACTACTTAAAATTCTACTTAGTTTCTTTTTCCTTAGTAAGGTATACTAATTATATGCTTTAAAAAGGTCACAAAAATCACTCCACTTTACTATATACATGTATCTATTAGTCAATAATTCATGCCTTGCCAGTATTTCTTAATCATGGCATAAGAAGTTTTTCCATTAATCAGATCTTCAGGCAACTTTGTGCTGATATTAGTCATCTTCAGCATAATATGGGCAATATGAATTATTCATTTGATATGGCTGAAATAATTAAAATGATAAGAATCCCTTATAGACTTGTGTCTATCATAATTAACCTATACTTTAAGCAATATTACCAAGAAGTCAGTCTGGAAGAATGGGAGGGAATATAGGAAAGGTATAAGATACTAAATCTTCCCTGTTCTCAGAGAGGGTGAAGAGGTTAAACTCATGGATACAGTGTGGCGCAGCAATTCTACTTCTAGGTATATACCCAATGGAAACACAAAAGTTCATCAAATGACTTGTACTAAAATGTTCACTTAGCATTATTCATAGTAGGAAAAATATGTAACTCCCCACATGCTCATCAATATTAAAATGGATATTTAAATTATAGTATATTCATATAGGGGAATAAACTGCCACAGTAAGAGTGAACAAACTAGAACCACATAAACATATGATAGATCTCAAAAACATCAGAGTGCAAGGAGCCAAACACAACAAATGATTACAAATGGAATAACTTCTTATAACAGGAGAGGGGTTTCTGAGATTCTTGGAATGTTCTGTCCCTTGATTTGAGAGTTGATGATGTGAATATGTAATTACATTGGGAAAATTGAGCTGTATGTACATTTATGATATATAATCATTTTTGCATGTACATTATTCCTCAATAAATAATTGGAGAAAAGGAGGAATTCGATTGAAGATGTAAATCAGAGGAAATAGCAAGGATTATTTTCCTCCTGTCATTGCTCAGTTGTCTCAGCCCCATTCCTCTGGAAAGATATAGAAATAAAACACAAATACTAGCTTGCCCACTGTGGACTTCAACTCTTTTGAAATTATGAATACCTAGAATATAAGGGCTGTTTATACTTATAATTTTAATGAATCCCTTGAAGATATGGCAAAAAGGATAGTTGGTTTTAAGAAAATATTTATTGCCTCTTAAGAAGAGGTGTGTCATAGTAGACAAGCCCCTTCAAGACATATTAGGTTGTTGGGAACATTGTAACAATTTTTTCTGTTTTTCTGTGCAAAAATCTGTCATGATTTTCCTGACAACCTAGTTTACATTTGATGTTATTAAGCAGCACATAACCTAGTAACAGCCACTCAAAAAAAAAAATCCATACAAACTTATACCATTACATACAGTCTTGAAAATATTATTTAAAGTCTTATGAATATTGTATATGACTAGCATACCTACAAACATTGCCCACTGGGATTTGAATTGAACTGACCATCTGACTAGCTAGTTCTCTGCAGATAAGGCTATAACTACAAAGTTGTGTTTTGCAGGAGACTGTTATCTGAAGGACTGGTCTTCGTGGAGCCTCTGTCAGCTGACCTGTGTGAACAGTGAGGATCTAGGCTTTGGTGGAATACAGGTCAGATCCCGAGCAGTGATAATACAAGAACTAGAGAATCAACATCTATGCCCAGAGCAGACCTTAGAAACGAAATCATGCAATGGTGAGTGCTATACTTCGTGAAATTATATTCATTTTATTAAGACTTTTATATTGACAAGAAAAAAACACAAGATGATGAATTTTCTATTGAACAAGCATATTTGCTAAGATGGCACTCACTAGTGACAATTAAATTAAGGATGAAGTTCTGAATTTTAAAGATTTAGAGGGAGAAATAGTCACCCATTTATAAATTAGATGAGAAATATTGCAAAAATATTTCCCAGTTTTATAAGCTAAAGAAGTCTGAAATCATTAAGAATATGTTATTTCCACTCTTACTTAGCAATAATGATCACATATGAGTCCAAAGTATTTTTAATTTATTTAAATCTAATGACAAAAGGAAAAAAAATCACAAATCAACAGCAAAAACCTGTGTCAATCTGAACATGTTGGACTCACTCACATATGTTCCTCTGATTCTGGCTCACTGGGAGGCTGTGGGAGGATTATGGAGTAACAAGACCATGACAGAGGTCTCTGTCTCTCTCCCTTATCTCTGTGTGTGTCTCTCTCTCTAATGAAAGAAATAAATGCTTTTAAAAAAAAAAAAGACAAGATGGCTAGCCTCCATACTCCCAAGTCAAACAAAAATTTTAAATCTGGTAATTATAAATGTTTGTGAGTGTTTAGAATGATTCTTATATACTGCTGGTAGATGTGTAAATTTGAATCTCTTAGAGGAAAAAAATGAACAATTTTAGTACAGTTTTAAGCTATTTCTACAGTGATGCACAGAAATGTCCCTTCTAGATATTTATCTTAAATAAAAGTACCAGCAGAAATATATAAGGTTGACCATAGAGGCATTGTTTTCATAGCAAAAACATCAAATAACCCAAACTGGAAGAAATTAAATAAATTGGAGTAATTAATATATGGAATTTTACATAGCAGTTAAAATAAATAGACTGTACTTACATAAAAAATTTAGACCATCAGATGTCATAATGGTTACATTGCTGGTTACATAGTCGACCACGGTTTGAGTTCTGGACCTGGCAGCTTAAAATTCATGCTGGACATGTGTGCATGCATACCCAAGATCACGAGAGGAGAATAAAGGAGAAGGGATTGCGGCATGGCCACCTCCTCTGGAGGATGATTCTCATTTCTGTCTTTCTGTCTCTGTCTCTTTGGCGCATACATGTACCATATAGCAAAAAATCTCTCCAAAATAAAAAGTCATACAGAAATATTTCATCAGCAATATTGGCGATCAGTTATAAAATGATACATGGAATATGATCCTTTTTTTAATTTTAAGACCACATAAAATAATATATTAATTTGTGTATGTGTATATATGAATGTGTGTGTGTGTGTGTGTGTGTATAAAATAAAATAATGAAAACGGCACAAAAAGTTTTACATCTACTTAAGAGTAGTTTGTACTGTTAGACAAAAGTTTTACATCTACTTAAGAGTAGTTTGTTCTGGTAGACAGGAAAAGAGATCAGATCAGAAAGAAATATGGTAAGACATCTTGTTTATCTCTTTCATTTTATGCAAAGAATACTAAAATAAATATGGTCAAATGGTAATATTTGTTAAAATTGCATAATGGGTAATAAATTTTAAAAATGGATTCTCTGTACTCATCTGTACATTTGATATTTCATTGCAGTTTAAACAATACACAGAACTAAATTAAAAAAAAAAAAAAAACGCTTCCCACCAAAGTGTGACAGCACATGTAAAAAATTAGTTTGAATTTAGCTATACAGCTGCAATTTGATAATTGGATGGCAACTGTGGGACAATATATTGACATTTGAATCATCAAAGATAGACTTATCATTTATCAATTGTTCATAAATATTGAATTAATAC